AAATAAAGTCTGTCACAAATTTTGGCTGGTTCGCGGTTTGTGAAATAATATCAAGTTGATTGGCACAGTCACAGGTTCACAGGTATCAATGATGATTTTCAACATTCATAATAGCTACAGTTCCTAGTCGAGCCTTCCGTGGGCTATTGGTACTGTGATGCGGTTTGTGAAGCCATGTTCGTGAACTGAAGAACTTCAACGAATTTTGATGCTGTTTGTGGTGATTTGTGAAGAGCAGAAGGCAGGGATTTAAATGGCTTGAAGCCATTTAAACTGCTTTTTGTTCTTCACAAAAATGGCTATGTGGTGGGGAGCTCCCTGCGGCTCAGCTGTTTGGTTTAAATGGCTCTCAGCCCTGCTTTTTGCACACCACCAAAAGCCACGGCAAGCAGAAAACGGGGTGAAATGCCTCCCAGCCATTTCACCCTCTGCTTTCTGCTCCCTGCCAAAAGCAGCAGGAAGCAGAAAGCAGGGGCTTAAGGCTCAGAGCCATTTGAACCCCTGCTTTCTGCTACCTGTCACTTTTCACGGGGAGCAGAAAGCAGGGGTTTAAACTTTAAATGGTTCACAAACAGATACGAACGGGTTCAGCTCATGAACTGGCCTACTGGTTTGGGGGTCCAGCCACAAACCACAAACTGAACCCCACCATCCCTACTAACAGTATTCATTCCAGCATGAGCTGTTCGGAGTTTGAGCTCACATTTGGGGAAGTAAGTGCTGACAAAAGCTCATGCTGTTATACATACTGAAGTCTTTAAGCTGCCCCTTTGCTTCCGCTTTGTTTTCTGTCATTCAGACCACAGATGTGGGGCACCCTTACTGAATGCCCCCTCTCATTTTTTTTTAACAAAGAATTCCCTGAAAATAAAAGCACCAGCATATCTCAGAGCAAGATTCTACTCCCTGTTCTGCTACTTTCTACTCTCAGGAAGGTAAGTTTCAGAGGGCAGCCATGCTGGTCTGCAGTCGAGGACATGGATTCGAGTCCAGTAGCACTTCAGAGAGCAACAAGAGTTTGAGACTGCAGGCGTTCAAGAGTCAAGGCTCCCTTCTTTGGATCTGACGAAGGGGCCTTTGACTCTCTAAAGTGCATACCACAAAAATCTTGCTGGTCTCTAAGATTGAAGGTCAAAGAAGACAGGGACGGCAAAGGAGGAGATGGTTAGACAGTGTCATCGATGCAACGAACATGAAATTGAGCCAACTTCAGAGGACGGTGGAAGACAGGAAGGCCTGGCGGGATCTGGTCCATGGGGTCGCGAAGAGTCGGACTCGACTGTGCGACTGAACAACAACAAAAAGGTGCTCCTGCACTTGAATCTAACTACTCTCAGGGAGATTTTCACCTGCAGATAATCCAAAGTACTGTTCCCCTATCTGTAAGGAGGAAGGTTTTTCCCACCCCAGAACTCAATACTTCAAGCACATTTCCTTCTGCCACGTGCTTGGACCTGGACATCATAATCGTTGCAAGCACCATGAGAGGATCAATGGCATGGAGACTAAGTGCAAGCTTATATATAGCAAGGAATCATTTGTCTCTTTGAAAGTAAAGTGCAGGATTCGATATGTCCAGGAAAACCCACAGAGGAAAAGTTTTGGATCATAAAAAAACGAAGGGGCGTTTGGAGCAGCGGAAGAGGCAAACCGTTTCTGCACAACTGAGAGTATCTGAACAGCCAACGCGTTTGCACAGAGAGAACGACAGCCATTCCTCTGTGTAGGGATTCTCACAAAGGGAAGCCTCTGAAGGAATTCTGTCACAACGCTGCTTTAAAATGAAGTCCTGAAGTGCTTCCAATGTACAAATTGTCTGTGCACTTACCCACTACCGCAATGCAATGCAAAACACGAAGGAGCACTTGGGTTGTCTTCTGTGGCCAATTCAGTGGCAATTATTCTGTGTTCGTGTCCGAGAATCAGCCTTCCCAGCGCATTCAGAAAGACCCACCAAAAGCCTGCCCTACTGAGGCCAGGAGGGTCACCCAAGCTACCCTTCACCCCACGGAAACTTCTCAGTCACACTGGCCAGGATTGGCTCTGAGCAACGGCACACTCTAAACTCTCCACCCTCCACTCTGTTACTTTTTCCTTCCTCTTTTCCATTCATTCCCCTTACTATTTTCATTCCTTCATTCTTGGGTTTTGGTTCCAGCAGTCCTTTTCTCTCCACCACCACCATCCCCGATCCATATATTTAACTTGTTTTTCATTTTCTGCATCTACACACTATGGAGCCTGAGAATGAAGCTGTATAAATATTAGCGAGGGACTGACTGATGGCGGCTCATGAGCCAGCTGCAGCCTGGACACAGTGAAACGGAGCCCAATCTTTATGGGCAGTGTGCCACAGAAGTTCCCCAATACTATGCCAGTATACATGATATAGCACACCCCCACATAACAAGAAGGAGAAGAAGAGACGGGACTTCTAGCCCTTCACTACCCAAAGGAGTCTCAGAGCGGCTTCCAAACTCCTTTCCCTTCCCCTCCCCACAACAGACACCCTGTGAGGTCGGTGGGGCTGAGAGAGCTCTGAGAGAAACTGCTCTTTTTTCAAGAACTGCTGTGCCAGAACTATGGCTTGCCCAAGGTCATCCAGAAGGTGCAAGTGGAGGAGTGGGGAATCAAACCCGGTTCTCCCAGATTAGAGTCCGTGCACTTCACGACACCGAACATTGGGTGTGGCTTTGCATTTCACCTGCTGAGTCAGGGAGAGGCAGGCAGAGAAGACGTCCTGACTATACCACAGCAGCCCTGACCTGGACGGCCCAGGGGGCCCCGATCTCATCAGATCTCGGAAGCTAAGCAGGGTCGGCCCTGCCTAATACTCGGATGGGAGCCAGGCTCCCCCTAAGCTGTGGGGTCTCGTGAGCAACGATTCTGCTTTGTGAGCTCCTGGCATTAAAGTTGTGAGTGAGCGATTTGGCTGCTGCGTAAACCAGTTTGTTCGGGAGCCCTCCTTCCCGAGGTGAGACAAAAACCTGTGAGCTGGAGGCTACAAAACTGTGAGCTAGCTCACATTAACTCAGCTTAGAGGGAACACTGGATGGGAGACCGACAAGGAAGCTCAGGGTCACTACACAGAGGGAGGCAAGGGCAAACCACCTTTGCGTATCTTTTTTCCTGACCTGCATGGCCCAGGCTGGCCCGATCTCATCAGACCTCGGAAGCTAAGCAGGGTCGGCCCTGGTTAGCATTTGGATGGGAGACCACCAAGGAAGACCGGGTGGTTTGCTGCGCAGAGGCAGGCAGTGGCAAACCACCTCTGCACGTCCCCTGCCTTGAAAACCCCACAGCCTGAACACTCTCGTGTGCCACGGACGGCTGCTGCTGGTGCCACTTCATGCAGTTCCTGCTTCTTATTAAAGAAGCAGCCAATTTGCTCGGGGGAGGGGGGGAGATCACCCCTACAGAGTGCCCTGGTCAGCTATTTCAGTTCAGATTATCTGAAACGGTTCCTCTGGGATGGTTTGATCTTCCGTTTGATATATCTTATTATGGAACTTCTTCTGGGAACACGCCAGGCTTTTCAGGGCAACGTGAGCTCACTGTCGGTATTCTCCCTATTTTTACCGCGCCGATGCCCTGCAAAACACTGAATCTAGGATGTCCATTAAACCCATCTCCGTATCCGTTCCATCAACGCTCATAAGACGCACTACACGCAAATGTTCCAGAAAGGAAGCGACATTCTTCGTCTGTTGCAACAGATACAAACGAAGAGTTTTCGATTTGGTGCCTTTAAAGACTGAAAACGTGCTGTGCCCACATGAGCTTTTATGGACTAATGCCCGTTTCTTCACGCTCAGTGAGAAGATTCTCACTGTGCATTCGTTTTACGTAGGGGTCTGAGGGGAAAACCATCAACAAATGGACTGCAAGGTTAAGGGGCCATGAAATGAAAGCAGACCGGGGCGAAATGTAATTATATAAAACTGAAACTTCATCAAGGGGGAAAAAATACAGAGGCCGTGTTATTCTTGGCGAAGCCTGGGGCTCCTGGCTAACCCCTGTAGTTAACCAGGAGCCCCCCGGTTTCGCCAAGACAGTTAACACCAGAAATTAGCACTCCTCAAGTCTCTGTTCAAGCCAGTTAAATGAGTTCCGGGTTACATTCAGAGGCTGAACTCTCATTTAATAGACACACTCTGACATATTTGAAAACTCCTGGCTTGAACAGCTAAAAGGGAAACAAATAAATGATGTGTGCATTTATCAGAAAAGACACAACATAAGGAGAGTCCTTTTGGATCGGAACAGGGGTCCACCCTCCTCCTTCCAAAGCACCCAGCTTCAGGGATGGACCGCACCGCAGGAGAGAGCTTCCGTTTAGCAAAGGGACTCACAGCGGCCGACAGATCCATCCTCCGTGAAAGGTTTTACCGTTACTCTTTATGCATTTCGCAAAGTGAAAGGTGCCCTGATTTTAGCAAATGTCCTATTCTGGGCAAGAAGCTCAGGCAATCGAATAACTGGAGATGGTCAGGAATTTGCAACGGAGCCCCGGCTTTAAGGAAGTCGGCGTGGGATGCGCCTTCACGGAGAAGAGTTCGATTCCAGTCTGGTGGCACCCGAGAGACCAACAAGCTTAACGGTCTCCACAGGGGCTCCCGGACTCGAACCCAGCCGCTCCACCACAGACCCAGAGAGCTGCCCTCTGGAACCAGCTTCACAAAGAAGGACGCCTTACAGAGAAACTACATTTCTCGGAAGCCTCTATTGCCACGAAGGGGTCTGTTCTGCAAAATCTATGCCGTGAACCTGCAAACAAGGCTCCGGCTTTGGAAAGCAGAAGCTGTTCCTCGCCACACTTTTAGCCGCCATCGGGGCACTGAGAAAAGCAAGGGAGCAAGTCAGAAAACACCGACGCGAGAAACACCAAAGGCAGTCATCACGTTTTTCTTTCGGCTGCTTACCAGTGTGACTCCTTTTATGTACCATAAGCACATTGGGACCAATGCAAACCATGCCACAGACGTCACATTTCAGTTTACCATTCGGAAGCCGGATTCCTCCCTCGCCCGACAGTTCCTGCAGCTTCCTGCTGTCCACCATCTCGTGGTTCTCAGAAAGGGTCTCCTCCAGACTGCTCCCTTCATCGAGACCCCTGAGCCCGTCTTCCTGCTTCAGGGGCTTCCTGTCGGAATCCTCATCATCACTTTGCATTTCTAGCTTTATGGAATTTGCTGCAAATTAAAACAACAACAACAACACGACGTTAATTTTGTTTCCCCTCTAACCGCAAGCATAAAGAACGAGCATAGCTCTTATGTTAGCCCTAAAAGTAGTTTCAGTTTAGTTTATTGTAATCAGCCACTGGCCGTTACAAAATTACAAAACACAAATCATGAACAACCTATAGGTTAAAAGTCAGACTATACAAAAACACCAGAGATCAGTAACAAAATATGACTAATTTAACACAGTAGCCTGAATAATGCCCATTCCCGATGCCACCTTGGAACGTATACTCTTTGCAGCAAGGGCAAATAATGAAACTTTATAAGGGACAAAGGCATCAATGTCAGATAACAAAAATGAATTTTTTTCCCTCAACGGGGTAAGCACTAAGACCAGATAAAATACCTGCTAAAAATTTAGCCCTCGGACTAGACCACAGTGGGCAAAAGAGAATGTAGTGAGGTAAATCCTCAAGTTCGTGGGAACCCCAAATACACAGACGATGGGCCAATGGAGTTTGATTGAATCGGCCCTCCAAAATTGCTGTTGGGATTGATTGAACCCGAAGAGAGGTAAAGGACGCTCTAAGTACGTGTTTAGAGATATTAACTAGGCATGGAGAGCCCTAAGAGTAAGTAGATTCCAAAATTGGTTCACAAGACATTTTCCAGTCCCAGCAAGCTGCAAATTGCTTGAGAGTCTGTTGACTTGCTGCGATGCCCAGTAAGCTCACAAGGGAAGAAGAATGAAGGTTGGCCATATTTGATTGTAAAACGTACGATGGAGAGAAACTGAAGACAGCCACCGTCACCAAGCCAGCACGGACATCGTCAGTACATGCTCAAGCTGCATTTCTCTGGTTCTCCTGCTCTGGGTTGCTGGGGGGGGGTTTACGAGGAAGCAAGAGTAGCAGTGATGGTTACCATGACAAAAGGTTCCAGAAACCGTGTGAACTGGCACTGACTGGCATAAACTCCCCCTGGAAACGTGGACATCCAAATTCACAACAATCACTTTCGCTACACCCTGACCTGGCTGGCCAAGGCTGGCCCGATCTCACCAGATCTTGGAAGCCAAGCAGGGTCGGCCCTTTCCACCATGGAAGCACCTGGAATCTACCTTATTCCAAGTCGGACTAGCGACAGCCCTCCAAAGCCTCGTTCGGATCTCTTGTCATCCAAGATCCCCTGTAAGTGGAGATGCTGGGGACGGACTCTGCCCTTTGGTACGCAGGGTACTGGCGCCACTCATTCGGCTACAGCCTTGCTCCGGGGAGCCCGTGACGGAAACCGAAGACAGAGCAGCTGACCCCGAGCCGTCAGGCCCACTTTTCCCTCCTAGCAAGATATATAAGAGCTCATCCACTCAGCTCAGCTTAGCCAGATCATAGTTTAGTTAAACAATCCTCGAAAACTTTTACCAAAAGCATTTTCAGTGGGAGAAAATTTCGATAAAAGTTTTGAACAACCTTTATTGAAACTTTTTTTTAACCACTGAAAATGCTTCCGATAAAAAGTTTTCAAAAGTTATTTAGTTAGACAGCAGTTCAGATCCCGCTGAGTATTTCCAGACAGCGGGACACACACTCTCAAAACACAGCTTTTTTATTTAAGCCCCCTCTTCCTCCCCCTCCCCAGCCTGAAATGTCTCAAGTGCTCCTGGGGGACCCCTCCAGCAACAAGCTCTCAGGGGGCATTTCAGGCACTGCAGGAGAGAGGAGGTGAGAAAGCTGCTTTTCAGGAGCAGGTATCTCTCCGCCTGTGAAAATGCTCCATGGTGTCCATGCCAATCATTCTCCTGATCTGAGTGCGCGGACAGGGCTGGCCATTTCCTGTTCCTTTGAGCCGTGACCTCTGTTTCGGTTCCTTCTCCTCACCTTGCCCCTGAAACAACCGGTCTTGATTTTCAGGAGTGTCACCTTCTCATGACCCATCCGCTGGGGTGACCGACAGTGGTGGTCTGCACCATCGGAAACCAACTGACAACACAGGCTCAGCACATGAGACATTTCCGAACAACCTCTTGCTTCGACCGTGATGTTCCATTCTAAACTCTGGCTAGAATCCAGTGGGAAACAACAGCACAGCAAAACAGAGCGAGTCCGCTCCGGAGCAGGAGGCTCCACTCAAACGCACTGCCGGGACCCACTTCGTCCAAAGGTGCCCACGCTGAGAGGAGGAGGAGGAGGCACGTGGCCAAGCATCTGGCTTGGCATCCCCTGGGCACCAGAAGCAAAGTTGTGTACGCGGCTCCGCGTTCCCAGCCCTCCCTGTCCTCAGACCTTACCATTGTCAGGAGCCTGCCATTAGAGCTTGTTGCTGTGTGAGATTCCTCTCCATCTGGGACCCGCAGCTCTCCAAGGAGGGGAAGGCAGCGGCAGGAGGGATCTCCTCAGCTCGGCAGGAGTCGTTTGCTGCTTAGGCAATCCCCACTGCCTTAATCTGACTTCACGCACCTTCGCATATATAGATGTAATTGCTACTATATTTCATAGAGGAGACAATCCCGCCACAGTGAAGCACTCGTCATTTTATAGGGGAGATTTGAGTACACACTGAAATTTCCTACTTAAGTCGGATAACACTTAAAAATCACAGTTCTGGGAGCACCAGAAGAACACAAGAGAAGCCATGTTGGATCAGGCCAATGGCCCATCCAGTCCAACAGTCTGTGTCACACGGTGGCCAAAACCCAGGGGCCATCAGGAGGTCCACCAGTGGGGCCAGGAGACTAGAAGCCCTCCCACTCTTGCCCCCCAAAAGCACTAAGAATACAGAGCTTCACTGCTCCAGGCATAAGAACACAAGAGAAGCCATAATGGATCATGCCAATGGCCCATCCAGTCCAACACTCTGTGTCACAAGCAGTGGACAAAACCCAGGTGCCATCAGGAGGTCCACCAGCGGGGCCAGAACTCCAGGAGCCCTCCCACTCTTGCCACCCCCCCCCCAAAGCACCAGGACAGTGTTCCATCTATACCTTGTGGGTAATAGCCACTGATGGACCTCATGAGTTCTTTTTGTTTTGCAAAATGCCGTAAACTGTTATTGTGTTAACAACTGTATGTGGTGGTTAAGCCTTTCTCTTAAAAAATCACTGTTGAGGAATTTGTGCTGAGAAGCAGTAACCTGCTTAAGGCCTACACAACAGGCAGAACTTTATATTCCATTGAAATCACCCATTTCTTCCATGGAACTCAAGGCACGCACACGGACCAAAGGCAGGCCTGCATAACTTGAACAGGGCAGCAGATGCTTGTGGCTTCAGACTCTGCCTGGGGCTTGAATGCCCATTTTCTGGCTCCGGATAGAGGAGGCTTGCATCTCAAAAACTCATCCCCCCCCCCAAAAAAAAAACCCCTCCAATCTTATTGGTCTTTAAGTTGCTACTGGACCTGAATTTAGCTGTCCTCCTGCAGACGAACATGGCTGCCCCCTGGAAGAGCCCAGGTCTGCATTACTTCAGCGCTGGAGATTTTTCCAGCCCCAATCTCAATGTACAGAGTAGAAAATACACCCATCAAAGACAAATTCTGAAATTCCCCTGCTGCTTCCCTGGTTCCAAGAGCAAGATCATTTCGAGAATCGTTCAGTTTAACACTTCTTTGCCCCTCCAGACGTGCAGCGGCCTCTCTATTTCACTGCCAATTTTGATATAATTCTAATGAGCGGTTTCTCGTTGCTTCCTTATAGGCATTGCCTTGAATGGCCAATTTTCTTTTATTTATTTATTTTTTTTGCTGGCTCGCAGCTGCTTAACCACCTTTACCACCACCCCCAAGGAGGCAAAATACAACTTTCTGCAGTCCTCAACAGACCCTCTCTGCTTGGACTGCTCCGTGCCCCACTCTTTCATGCTACAGGAGGAGGAGGAGGAGGAGGAGGAGGAAGAAGAGGAGGAAGAAGAGGAGGAGGAGGAAGAGATTGGATTTATACCCCGCCCTTCACTACCGGAAGGAGTCTCAGAGAGGCTGACAAACTCCTTTCCCTTCCCCTCCCCACAACAGACACCCTGGGAGGTAAGTGGGGCTGAGAGAGCTCTGACAGAAACTGCTCTTTTTTCAAGGACAGCTCTGACAGAACTATGGCTTGTCCAAGGTCATCCAGCAGCTGCAAGTGGAGGAGTGGGGGAATCAAACCCGGTTCTCCCAGATCAGAGTCCACACACTTAACCACGACACCAAAATAAAAAAGGTAGGCTCTGCTGAGTTCTGCCATCCTCAGACCGGCTGTGTTCCCCCCACCCCCACCCCCGGATTTCCCCTGTTGGATTACCAGCTGCCTAATCAGGTTTGGATCCTCCGGTCCTCAGGAAGTGGGGCTCCAACTGGAACCTGCCTAGGAAGGTAGCTATGAGGCCCTGCCCCTCTGTGGTCTCTCTGCTGCCTCCGGGAGTGATGCCCTTTGCTCACTGCAAACGCGTGGGGGGGGGGGCATTCAGAATGTCTGCATCTCATAGACTGCATTCTGCTGCTGAATATTAACATATTAGTTTGCCCCTCAGTTCAGTTCTCTCTGATTTCCCAAATTTATACCAGGAGACTGGTCACAAGAACATAAGAGAACATAAGAGAAGCCAATGTTGGATCAAGCCCATCCAAACCAACACTCCTTGTCACACAGTGGCCAAAAATACCAGACGCCCTCAGGAGGTTCATCAGTGGGGCCAGGGCACTAGAAGCCCTCCCACTGTTGCCCCCCCCCAGCACCAAGAATACAGAGCATCCCTTGCCCCAGACCGAGAGCTCCTATCTATACTTTGTGGCTAATAGCCACTGACAGACCTCTGCTCCGTATAAGAACATAAGAGAAGCCAACGTTGGATCAGGCCAGTGGCCCAGAGCATCCCTTGCCCCAGACCACTTTGTGTCACACAGAGGCCAAAAATACCAGGTGCCATTGGGAGGTCCAGCAGCGGGGCCAGGACACTAGAAGCCCTCCCACTGTTGCCCCCCCCAGCACCAAGAATACAGAGCATCCCTTGCCCCAGACC